TCAAAGTTAAGCTATTTTCAAGCTCTTAAAAGTCCAAGGAAAGAAATTCTCAAAACAAAAGACATAAGACAAGTCACATACAAGCAAGGCTGTAGTAGACTGGCGTTAGAGTCCAGAACAGAAAATTTTCAGAAAGAGATTATCCAATTCAAAGAATTATGTTGGCTGAATAGATTTTAAAAGTCAAATTCAACTATATGCTGTCCACAAAACTTCATAAGATGGTGTGGAAGACGCTGGAAGACATAAAGGTTAACATAGCAAAAAAAAAGTGTGTGTATTTGCTTGTTAACATGTTCAGGGGAAATCCCTTGAGGTAATGCTCATATTTATCCAGTCAAAAGAAACTGAAGCTGGAAGATGCGCTCAGCATCCATTTAGGAGGTTCAACCCCTTTCACGCAGCAGATGAATGGCCCAGAAATGATGGAAGACATTCACCAGTCTTTGGCATCACAAGGCATGGACTGCCCATGAGGCCTAGAGGGAGAAGGGCAGCAGTGCCTAGATGCTCTGCAGTCTGAACTAGCAACCACTCACAATCCACCTAACATGGACAATTCAGAAGGAACTATGTAGATGCTGGGTTTGCTGTGTTAACTCAAGGAACTCCCAAGAGCAACAAGAATTAAGACAAGAAGCCTGGGGAAAGACCCAGACTATAGTGACCCCATAACATACACCACTTCAGCAAGGTGATTAATTTATATGATGATATTGTTTGAATTTTAAAAACTATAAATAAAATTTTGGATAAAAATGAATGGATGAATATTGAAAGAAATGATAATTACTATGCCTACCTAATATGTACAGTATCCATATGTTGAAATATCACACATTACACTATAAATGTTTACAGAAATATATGGTGAAAAGAAAAATAAAATAGCAAATATATAAATGTTTTTGACTAACACAAAGAGAGAAGGGTGGCTGCAGGTCTGGCCCTTGACCACTGGCAGCTGACAAATCATTTTTCTGCCTCTCAAGGGAAATCATTCACCTTAACTGAACATCTGCACTGTGAGAGCAAACTCTGTCTGCCTTTGCCTTTCTCCCTCCCACTGAGAGACAGGCAGTCCTAAAGGATTTATACAGGAGGTGGGAGGATTCATGAGACTGAGGGCAGTCTGTGACCCAGGAGTGGCTGCACCATGAGTGTCTCTGCTCTGAGCCCCACCAGACTCACAGGCAGCATCTCTGGCTTCCTGCAAGTGGCCTCTGTGCTTGGCTTGCTTCTGCTGCTGTTCAAAGCGGTCCAGTTCTACCTACGCAGGCAATGGCTACTCAAGGCTTTCCAGCAGTTCCCATCCCCACCCCTCCACTGGTTCTTTGGACACAAGGTATGGAAAGGGAAGGGTGGGAGGAAGACCAGGGAGGATGGAGGTACAGAGAGGATGGAGGTGCAGGGAGGATGGAGGTGCAGTGAGTATGGTGAGGCAGAGAGGATGGAGGTACAGGGAGGATGGAGGTGCAGGAAGGATGGAGATCTCAGAGACTGGGCATCAAGTTCACAGGACAAAGAAGTATAGGAAGTCCAAGTACTTCGTGAGACACAGAGCTCAGGTTGAGACTCATTCCAGCATTACTGTAGCTCAACTTGTCTGGCTGTAGCCATCTCTGTACTGAGAGCCCTGCACATGAAGGCTGTGGTTGGGCCTACCTAGTCTCCTCTTCTTCAACAGCCTCTGCTGTTCTCAAACAGCTTCTAGGAGGTTCCTTGCATAATCATTCACGGTTATTCTCTCCTAGCTCAGGCCTTGCTGGGAACACAGAAGTCAGTGAGATGGAAGCCTGGCCCTGTGGGGTTCTTGGTGTGGCAATGGCACCATCTCAGGAGCTGTCAGGCACAGGAAGAGTCCACACTGCTGGGATGAGTGGGTAGCTGGCCCAGATGATTTCCCCTCATTGCAAGAGAATTTTCAGGATGGAAAGATTATGACTAAAATCCTGAAGTCATGGCACGGGAAGGAATAAGGCTGTGTAGTGGCCTCACATGAGGGCACCGATGTTAGAATTCCCTCAGGGTCTGTTTAGTTCTCTATTCTCCTTCACAGCCCACACTCTAAGCAATTATCATAAACACACCATCACTTCCCTACACCACAGTGCTCAGTTCAAGAACCAGGCACACATGTCTGAGATCTCCCAGGAAGGAGATGGTGCAGCACCCTGTATATTAGGAATTGAAGGTATTGACTCCTTGCACTGTCACCCAGGAAATAAGGACCAGAGTCAAGTAGGAGGATACATGAGGAAGCATTCAACAAAGGATTGTGCAATGAATGCTCTTAGAAGGACACGGAGATGCGGTACTTGTGTGCAGAGCTGAGGATTCACCCAGCAGCACTGTCATTTCCAGCTAAGGACCAATCCCCCTGTGTGCCTGGTGTAGCAGAGCTCTCAGTGATAGCACAGATAGTCCGTGAAACTACTATAAATCCTTAATGCTTCTGAAAAGTAGAGAGCTATGTTCCTATGCTTGTTCGGCACTTGTCTCCAGCCCCCCCAAAAAAACTAAACTAGAGTCCAATGCTCCATCATTCCCTCAACAGCAGGTGCGGGGTGATCAGGAGCTACAGCTGATTATGAAGGTTGTGGAGAACTTCCCAAGCGTCTTTCCTCACTGGTTCTGGGGGAGCCAAGCTTATCTTACTGTCTATGACCCTGACTACACGAAGGTGATTCTAGGGCGATCAGGTAAGAGTATATCATTCTGAAAAGATTTGTGCTGTTGTCTTTGTAACTAGTCCAAGGCTGTTGAGTTCCTGAAGACTGTAGTACCAGGCCATTGCCCTGCACACCCTAACAACGATTCTCCCAGACAAAAACCCAGAACATGGCCAGCAGCACTCAGCATTGAAATTTCAAGCCTTTAGCCAAAAGTCATTATATTTCTTTGCTATTTAATCAAATTAAGATAAGTAATGTAAATTGTTCCAGGTCTGAAAAGCACACTTCAAATGCACATTGGTTTGAGCTTTGAAATCTCTAATTGTTACCTGACTTCTGGTATCGTAGGATAAATAAGACATGATCCACATACTACTTTGCTGATGAGCTATAACCCCTCTCTGAAATAATATTAACAATCCTGAAAAACCATACTAAAACAACAGGGGGCCGATATTGGGGACGGAATTCTTGGGCATCTTTGCAGAAGTCCTTCATCAAACCTAAGTTCTAAGCTGATTCACTCCCAAAACTTGGGTTTATGTCTATCTTGTTTCTCTTTCTTTAACATCTTTTTTATACTCCTAATTTGTACCTCAAGTTCATTTCCAAGTAACCCACATCTACAAGTAGTGATGTTTATTCGCAAGACCTTTTGTGCAGGCGTGTCCCCTACTGCCTCGGGAACCAAGGTTCACATGCTGGGTATAACCCACCATCTCCCCTATTCCTTTCTGTCCCACAGGTATCTCAGTCACACTCTCCATTTATGCTCTCCACCACAACCCGAAGGTGTGGCCAAACCCAGAGGTAGGAGATTCCACAGGAAGGCAGGGGGAGATCCCTCCAGACAAACCCTGCTGTCCCCACCTCTAGAACCGTGTCCCCTGGTGGGATGAAAGCAGCCATATAACCTCTGCCTGTCCTGACAAAGGTGTCATATCCCTACAGGTGTTTGACCCTTCCAGGTTTGCACCAGATTCTTCCCGACACAGCCATTCATTCCTGCCCTTCTCAGGAGGAGCAAGGTGAGACATCCTGTGTACACTGATGTATACTGTGGGGAAAGTTGCAGCCTACCTGGATGTTTTTGACCCCATGCATACATGACATCTCCAGGTGTATTCTATTGGTGGATACGGGGAAAGCTTCTTGGGAATGTGTCTGTATGCATAAGGAGGAAAGCATTGCAGGAGACACGGTGAAGACCTTGACTCATTGCTTCTCCCACTCGCCAGCCAAATTTCTCTGTCAGTGTATGCTACAGACATGCACATGTTCTCATATGTTAGGGGCATGGCTAAGTTGATCTTTTTTCCTGTGATTTTAACATCGGGTGTCCAGCGTTTCAAGTTCCAGGGTTCTTATGTGATGTGTCATGCCTTTTCCCATACTTCAGTCAGGCCAAGCACCCTTCCTGAGAATCACTGTGGAAAGTGCTAGGTTTGCTTGGATGTCAGCCCTGGACAACTGTCCAGCCAGAGACTTGAGGTGTTACAGAAAATCTTTTAAAGGAAAAGTTTATTCCAAATCCATGGACTCCACCTGTGCAGTCTCTTCTACTCAATCAGAGACTCGGTGCCAATGTGCACATTCCTCTTGTAATTGACCAAGTTGTTCAAACCTTGACAGATAATATATATACCTTGACATTACATGTAGAGGCTGTGTGGTCTGTCTTCAGACAAAAAGCATTTAAGTAGAGGAGAATAAAATGTTTCTGAGAAAATCCTCTGTTTTATATAAAACACATAGCATTTATTAAGGTTACTGGTGAGTGAAATATAAAACACTCTTGAAATAGCTACTGAACCAGTTGAAGGCTTTCCAATGGCTTCTAGTAAAATCCTCAAGTCTCCCATGGGATCTGTAACATGAAGAGCTGCTCATGGGGTTTCTGTCCTGCCCTGTTCCCACAGGCGGAAAGTCCCAAAGAAAATCACACAGAGAGTCTACATTAGGTTATAAACTGATGGGCCCATTAGCTCAGGCTTTGTCTTAGCTCTTATAACTTATATTACCCCATTATCCTTAACTATGTTAGCCACATGGCTCAGTACCTTTCTCAGCCGGGCAGGTTACATCTTGCTTCTCAGTGGTCTGGGTAGGAATGGGAGGAATGGGTTTCTCCTTCCCCGAATTCTGCTGTTCTTATTGCCCTGCCTCTATTTCCTGGCTGGTTGATCTGCCTATACTTCCTGCCTGGCCAATCAGCATTCATTTAAAATATGATTGACAGAATACAGACAGTTCTCCGGCACCAGGATGTGACTCACTGTTAGCTTTTTTAATTTCTTATTTTTTATTGATTTTTACTGAGTGATGTGGGAATGATTTCTTACTAATAAAGAAACTGCCTTGGCCCATTTTATTGGATAGAAAATTAGGTAGGCGGAGTATACAGAAGAGAATTCTGGGAGAAAGAAGGTTAGAGGAAGAGTCGCCATGATGCTCCCACTCCAGACAGACGCAGGTTAAGATCCTCTCTGGTAAGCCAGCTCATGGGCTACACAGAATATTAGAAATGGGTTAGAACAATATGTAAGAGCTAGCCAATAAGAAACTGGACCTAGCCGGGCCAGGCAGTGTTTGAAAGAATACAGTTTCCGTGTAATTATTTCGGGCATAACCTAGCCATGCAGGCGGCGGGGTGCTGGGGACACAGCCCTGCCGCTCCTAATTTCAACAACTGAGCTCTACATTTTTCTCTGCTCCCCTCCCTGCCTCTCCCCTCCCCTTCAACCTTACCCCAAGGTTTCCATGCTCCCAATTTACTCAGGAGATCTTGTCTTTTTCTACTTCCCATGTTAGCTTTAAAGACAAAGCAGAAGCAGGTTTTTCTGAGCCTGTACTTCATAGGCTCAGAATTCATGAATTACTCAGGTGGCAGATCAGATTTCACATAGCAGGTTACAAGCCAGTTGTTCTTCCAACATAGGCTGTCTAGCATCGATGTACTTGAGGTTGAATGCTCCTCCCCGCAACTCACAGCAAATCATGTCACTGATATAGAAGACAGAGTCTTGGCTAACTCAGCTTAAGTTGTAATGAAACATGCTGCTGCTGGCATTTCTTGAGACATTCTTAGGCTTGCCGGGTGTTCATGATCCCCCAGCCTCAAAAAGTACATGCCACTACACGTTGCTTTGGTCATATTCTTTGTAATTTCCATTGCATTTAATTCCATTTTTATACCTTAAATTCAAGTGAATTACATTTTATAGCCAAGTAAAAATGACTATTTTAAATTTAAAATAAATTACTAAAGCATTCTTATGTGCCAGGTTCTATATTAGATAAAAACATGAGAATGAATGATATTCTCCTACCCCTTCCTCCAACTCAAAACGTTATTCCACAAAGAAATATATCTGTAGTCAAAATAAGTTCTTCCTCAATTCTTTTTTTTTAATTTTTTTATTTTTCCATTTAATTATTTACACTTCCTTCCTGCCTCCCAATCCCCTCCTGCTCCCACACCCCCTCCTCCCTCTCCCACCCTGCTTGAGAGAGGGCAGGGAACCCTGCCCTGTGGGAAGTCCAAGCCCCGCCCCCCCACATCCAGGCTTAAGGAGCTGTGCATACATATAGACTAGGATCCAAAAAAGCCAGTAAAAACAAGTCCCAGTGCCATTATCAATGGCTTCTCAGTCAGCCCCCATTGTCAGCCACAATCAGAGTCTGGTTTGATTACATGGTCATTCAGACCCAGTCCTAGCTGGGTCCTGAGGTAGATCGGTTCTCAATTTTCTGAAAAACCACCATATTGATTTTCAAGTGGCTATACAAATTTGCACTCCTCCCATCAATGGAGGAGTGTTCCCTTTGCTCCATATCCTCTCCAAAATGAGCTGTCACTTGTAATTTTGATCTTTGCCATTCTAATAGGTATAAGAAGGAACCTCAGAGTTGTTTTGATTTGCATTTCCCTGATTGCTAAGGATGCTGAACATTCCTTTAAATGTTAAAACATTTCTTTAAACATTTTTTTTAGCCATTTGGGATTCTTCTGTTGAGAATTCTCTGTTTAGGTCTATACCCCATTTTTAAAATTGGATTATTTGATTTGTTGGTGTCTAGTTTCTCGAGTTCTTTACATTTTTTGGAGATCAGGTCTCTGACAGATGTGGGGATAGTGAAGATCTTTTTTCATTCTGTAGGCTGCAGTTTGTCCTATTGACAATGTTCTTTCCCTTATAGAAGCTTTTCAGTTTCATGAGGTCCCATTTATTAATTGTCCATCTTAGTATCTGCTCTATTGGTGTTCTGTTCAGGAAATTGTCTCCTATTCCAATGCCTTTGGAAAGGCATAGTAAAGAATTTTTCCCACTTTCTCTTCTGTGGGGTTCAGTGTATCTGGATTTATGTTGAGGTTTTTGATCCATTTGGGCTTAAGTTTTGTACAGGGTGACGGGTATGGATCTACTTGTATTCTTCCACATGCCGACATCCAGTTATGCCAGCACCATTTGTTGAAGATGTTTTCTTCACTTAATCTTAGCCAAAGGCTGGGAAGTGATGAAGATGTTTTCTTTTATTCTCCTGTATAAATTTGGCTTCTTTGTCAAAAATCAGGTGTCCACAGGTGTGTAGATTTACTTCTGAGTCTTCAATTTGATTCCATTGATCCACCCAATTGTTTTTATGCCAGTACTGTGAGGTTTTTATTATTATAGCCTTATAGTAAAGCTTGAAATCTGGGATGGTGATACCTCTGGTAGTTCCTTTATTGTACAGGATTGTTTTAGCTATCTTGGGTTTTTTGATTTTTCCATGAAGAAAGCTCACCTAAACAATCTTTGACTACCATGATTAATTAAACCTGCCCCCTTGATTGAGTTGTGTAAAAAACCCTGGCTCTCTGTTCAATCATATAAACAAACACACTGAGCTTGTGAAGGGGAACTTCAGCTTCTCCACCAGAGACCCCAGTCCACTGAATGCCAGCTATGCCTGTGTGTCTGCATCTCTATATATGTCTTTGTCATTTCTTCATTTCCTCAACACCCCAGTCAGGTCTGTCCCTGGGGCCATGCGGGGGCAGCACAGACACTGAGGAGTACCACATTCCTGCTGCCAGGCTTGCTGTGTTATCTGATCAGAACTTACAGAGACTGGACAAGGTAATATAAACCTCAACTGCCAGCACTTGGGAGGCACAAGCAAGTGGATCTACATGAGACCAGCCTGGTCTACAAAGAGAGCTCCAGAACATCAAGGACTACACAGAGAAACACTGTCTTGAAAAACCTCCAGAGGGTCCTGCTGCACACAGCCCCCAGACACTGATATATGGCCTTTTCCACTACTATGCACTTTGTAGTCTTGCAGCAGCCTCGTCCCTTGAGGCTCTCAGAAACAAACTAGCATCCTCACTTCCAGGGCTGTGTCATTCATGCCTTACTTTCCTGGGTTCATCAAATCTGCCCTATCTGGTGTAAACAACAGAAACTAAAATGTGACATACCCACCCTGAGTCACAAAAGCATGCGTTCTCCTCACAGCTATAGAGAGCTTAACTTTCTAAGGGGACCTGTCAAAATAAAAATATTTGTAGGCTGGGCCACTGAAACACGCACATACATACACGGGTATCATCAATGTTTATATTGTAGGTAAAGAAGCTTTTTGGAGACTACAATGCTTGGACTGAAGCAAATGTTACTACCCTAATGACACCCTGGGTACATCTCCAGAAGAAAGTCTCTTGACAAAAGAGAAAAGAGGAAAAAAAAAAAACTATCCTATGAAGGCAACAGAGGCAAATGATCAACCACACACACTGCAATAAGAATGAAGAAACAACTAACATAATAAAGAATATCTTTCCAGTAAGTGCTACAAAAGAAATCAATGGAATGCCTTAAGAAAAAAACATAAAATGATGATTCTAAGGAAACTTGAAAAAATGCGGAAGAATACAGACTTTATTTAAAACAAACAAAAAGTTCATCACTTGAGAAACTATAAAAATAAATAAATATGCTCAATCATACGACAAAGATATATGTTCAACTATGATTATTTTTAATAGCCAGAATCTGGAAACAACCTAGATGACCCTCAACCGAAAATGGATAAAGAAAATGTGGCACATTTACACATTAGAGTACAACTCAAAGGTAAAAAAAGCAATGGCATCTTGAATTTTTCATGCAAATGGATGAAACTAGAAAACACCATCCAGAGTGAGGTAACCCAAATGCAAAAATATTAATATGGTATGTACCCAATCATAAGTGGATATTAGCTATAAACAAAGGATAATGAGCCTATAGTTCATGATCCTAGATAAGCTAAGTAACAAAGTGAGCCCTAAATAAAAACATATATAGATCCACATGGAAATAGACAAGATCACCTGACAAAATTGGGAATATAAGGGTAGAGGGAAAGGGAGGGGAGAAGGTGGAAAGGAGGAGAGTAGGGGAGAAGCAAGGAAAACTTGAGAGAAAGCAATAGTCGAGAAGGAGGAAGAACAGAAATGAGAGCAAGGAAAAAGATATCTTGATTGAGGGAGCCATGTGGAGTTAGCAAGAAACCTGGCTCTAGAGAAATTCTCAGGAATCCACATGCATGACCACAGCTAAGACCCTAAGCAATAGAGGAGAGGGTGCCCAAACTGGCCTTGCCCTAGAGTCAGACTGATGAATATCTTAAATATCACCATAGAACTGATGTAAACAGAGCCAGAGACCCACATTGGAGCATTGGCCTGAGCACCCAAAGTCCAGTTGAAGAGTGGGTGGAGTGAGAATATGAGCAAAGAGGTCAAGACCATGATGGGTTTACCCACTGAAATAGTTGACCTGAACTAATGGGAGCTCACCAACATCAGCTGGACTGGGATGGAACAAGCGTAGGACCAAACTAATCCCTCTGAACGTGGCTGAGAGTTGCATGGCTTGGGCAGACTGTGGGGCCACTGGAATGGGCACCAGAATTTATCCCTACTGCTTGTTCTGGCTTTTGGGAACCTATTCTCTTTGGGTGGATACCTTTCTCTGTGTAGATATAGTAGGGAGGGCCTTGGACTTTCCCCAAATCAATGTGTCTTACCCTCTCTGAGGAGTAGATAGGATTTTTGGGTGGGGAGGGGGGTTGTTAAGTGGAGAGAATGGGAGGAGGAGAAGGAGTGGAAACTTGGATTGGGTATGTATAATGAAAAAAGAAAGTTTGTTTTCAGTAAAAAAAAATAAATTAAAAAAAATAAAGAATTGCAGATCATAAAAAGAATAAAACAGCCTGGACATGGAGGGGGGGATCTTGGTCCTGCCTCAACTTGGTATGCCAGAGTTCTTATCTCCCCAAGAGAGGCCTTACCCCCTTTGAGGAGTGGATGAGGGTAGAATGAGAGACAGGGTAGGCAATGGGAGAAGGGGAGGGGGGAACTGTGGATGGGACATAAAATAAAAGACCATTTAAATGGAAAATAAGAGGAAAAAACTCAAGCAGATGCCACACAGAACTCAGTAAATGAAATAAAAAATAGCACTGAGGGTTTCCATAACAGATTGCATCACGAAGAAGGATGAATTCAGAGCTTGGACACAGGCTTTTAAAATAACTGACCTATACAAAACAAAGAGAAAGATATAGGAAAAGACAAAGAATAAAATATATAAGGCAAACAAGACTCTATAAATAAAAATTGTGTATTGTAGGATTTACAGAATGAAAAGAAACTTTGTGAGGGCTGGTGAGGTGGTTAGTGGTTAGAGGTTCCTGCTTCCAAGTTGATGCCGTGAGTTCCATCCCTGGAGAGCTCCAGAGAATTGACCCTATCAGTTGTGCTCTGACCGCCACACACATGATGACATTCATGTGCAACACACATATAAATAAATAAATAAATAAATAAATAAATAAATAAATAAATCTAGTTAAATAATAGCTTAAAGCCTTCCAAATATTGAGAAATACAATAAAAAAAAAAACTAGGCCATAGTAAACTAGCACTAGAGTCTAGTACAGAAACCTCAGGAAAAGATTAACTTTCCAATTAAAAGAATTATGTTGGCTGAATAGATTTTAAAAGTCAAATTCAACTATATGCTGTCCACAAAATCTCATAAGATGGTGTGGAAGAATGGAATGGAAAGAAACCCACTGGATCCAGTAAAAAAAAAAAAAAAAAAAAAAAAACAAGACAGGGATGAGGGAGGACGATCTGAAGTTCATGTTGCTGGAAGAACAGGCACTCATGACCCTGCCCAGCCTGGCTCCCTGGGTCATCGATGAGAGAAATTTTGTCAGAAAGAATCCACAATCAGAAAAAAAAAAATCATGTCTGGAATCCACTGTCTGCAACCAGGACTTCCTTCCTAGTCCTTCTACTTAGCTGGGCTAGCACAGAGTGGTTCTGAGGAAGGGCAGGAGAGACCAGACTGAATACTCAGTACCTGACCAAGGGGAGAGCTTGGCAGGAACATGAGCTCAAATCGTCGTACTCAGAATGTTCAAGCAGTACAGAAAGTCTCATGTTGGCTATGTTGAGAATAAAGGAAACTGAGAGCACAGAACAGAATGCTGGGTACCCAGCCGAGGGCACACACTCTAACCACAGGATTCCAAATGGGATGAAATGTGTGACCAGAATGTGATTCTACTGCCTGGAAGCAATGAGCAAGACTGGCTGAGTTCACAGTCCTGAGCATTCCCCTGCATGATGCATGCAAAGTGACTTTCATGCCAGCACGCTCTGCACACCCACAGCACATTCCACCCACACATGGTGGACATTGCATGCCCAAGAACAAGGGAGCCTCAGGGTGTGTTTGAAAAGTCAGAACGATGAATCTGTGGTCATCTGTGATAGCTACCCATTCCAGTGTCCACTCACCTCACCCAGGAGGTCCCAACACACACACAAACAAGTACATATTCTAGTGTTCAAGAGATCACACCCAAACATCTGAGTCAGAGATCTTGGCTTTATTCCCACTGACACACATGCTCAAAAAGAACTGGTAGTAATGATGAAAATTTATTTCTATTGATACCTATACTAAAGAAGAACAGACATTAATGATGGAGTTTTGAACAAAAGATATCAGAGTCAGGAAGCTTCAGCTCAAGTTCCTCCTAGATTTTAGATCTGAAGATCTAAAATGTTAAAGTTTAGATTCAGGCGCCACCCAGAGGCACATGGTGGTTATGACTAGGCAGAACTTCTGAATCCTTACTACATTTGTTCAGAGAGGTCTGTCTGGTGCTAGGACAAAAATGCAAGTTAACTGCTTAAGGCTTATAGCCAACAGGCACAGTCTACAAGAACCTTTGCATCTCATCTTCGAGTGTCTTGATGTGGCTTGATAGGAGTTAGCAAGTGGCCCGGGGCAGATTGCCAAGATGTAGCATTCTTTCAAGTGGGAAAGGATTGATAGTAAGAAAGTGTATGGCACATAACCCAGGACACCCTAAAGCAGTGGTTCTCAATCTTCCTAATGCTTCAGCCCTTTAATAGAGTTCTTCATGTTGTGGTGACCCCCAACCATAAACTGTCATTTTGCTATTGTTATGAATCATAGGGAACATCTATGTTTTCCAATGCTCTTAGCCAACCAATTAAAAGTGTCATTAGAAACCCTCCACACCCATTGAATACGGTTGCCCTAGAGACTTCACCAAGTATCAGGGACAAAATTCCTAGCTCCTGCCTATGATCCTAGATTTTAGTGTCCTTCCTTCCCTATGAAGCTAATTCCTGGAGTGGAACCCCCTACTGACCTTAGACCTTAAACCCTAGAGATATAGATTCTAACAGCCATCAAGATGCTGCTGTAGGGACTGCCAGGGAAAAATATTCAATCATCACGTGGGCCCCACCCTGGCCTCCACCCCAAAAGTTCTTTGCACAGTCATGCCTTATAGAAAGGAGTTCCCTTTTTCCCAGGATTCCACCTTAATGCTACTGAAGCACCTTCCCTAGAAACACTGTGAAGATCAGAGCACTGTGTGACTATGAAACACCACTGTTAGGAAGGACAAGAGTCCCACAGAGACGTCCCAAGGAAGACATCACACCAGCAAAGACACCATTCCTGTTCTGTCACTTTGGTGGTGGGAGTTTGATTTTACAATTATTCTTTATTTTGTACAGATTTAGTTGAATCAACCTTTCTTTTTTTTTCCATTATATTCCAAACACACAGAGAAGCAGATAAAGACATGCACATCAATGAAGAGCCATATTCTATCCAGCCATCCCTCCTTCACATCCCTCCTCCACAGATCTCACAACAATTGCCATTGTCTTCACTAAGATTTTTCAAGGCTTGGGATGTATGATTCTGATTTTCTGTTTGTTTGTTTTAAAAAGACATACAGTTACGAGAAAGAAATGAAGCGTCTTATGACAGCCAGATGTTCAACAAATGTTTGTTGAGTGAAGAAATAAACTCCTGAGTCTAGGCATTAAGTCATTAGGCACACGTGTTTACAAGGGACTGCCTTCCATAAGACTGTCAATCCCAATGCTTTTACATCTTTAAGCCCCCAAAAGGTGGGATCCATGATGACTCCACATTCAATCTGGGAGAGCAATGTTCCAGGAAAAGCCACAGCCTCTGCTGTCCAAGCCATGATCTCGAAAGACCTATTTTCCAGAGCCCAGTGACTTCAGGTGGAGATGGATGCCATTTTTGGAGCGCAGGACCAGCTGGGGAAGTTTGATGGGCAGTTTTGACGGATCCAGAGAGAATTCAAAGCGCAGCAAGCACAGGGCTGTGACCACCTTCATCTCGCTCATGGCAAATTGCTGCCCAATGCAGTTCCTGCAGCAAGGAGCAAAAAGAGGCATCAGGCTGTTGGCTACCCAGTGTTCTTAGAGACCCACAAAAAAGCAGTAA